TAATCTGAAAGCTCTGAAGATATTCTTGTAAAATGATCTGTTCTATAATTTTCATACAGCAAATTCCTCATTTGTGCACCCAGGCTTAGAGTTAGGTACTAGCTCAACAGCCACGCCATCATATTCAGCATGCAGTAGGCTGCCTGCCTCCGTCAGGGCAGACCAAAGACACCCACCCAGAATGCAGTGCTTAAGGCCCTTTTCAAACTCCCACTCCACTTGATTTAACGTAAGGACATGAACCCAGTTGTATCACATCCCACAAAAAGTCCCCAATAAATAGGTGCTGGGCACTCTGCAAAGAACTACTCTAAAGGCTTTTGAGGCCTCCCCACTTTTCATAAATAAATAACAGTTGAAGCAGGATCAAGAAATGAATCTCCTACAGCCCAGGTGAAAATCCTTCTCTCTAAGTTTAGAGGTAGTCTCTCACCTTCTTTCTCTCTGTCTTTTTGGCCAAATCCGGTATCGTACTTCTGATAGTGGTCAGCAAGAGAGGCTTCAAAGGAGGTTGCAAGAAACCTACAAATCTCTGGTAGGAACTGGCATAGGTCTCCAGTGATGAAATCTAATACCCCTTCCACAGCATTAACTCATCTTACTGCTCTTTTGGTCCACAGAAAGGCCCATTCCCTTTCTGAATCTTTCTAAGGCTTTCTCCTAAGCAATGTTCTAGTGCTGTCTGTACACCAGTGCTAGCACGTATTCTGAGGGCTGATTTGCACTAAGGGAAAGTACCAGTCTCTTAGCGTGGGGAGCGATTCTAAAAATAGCGTCACACAGAGCTCCATGTCTGCATTTCCTCCAAAATTCCCAAATGGAGTTTCCTCAATACACTAGAATAGAGATGTCATCTTTATACTTCTCATCTCTGCAAAGTCAGATGGGGATCTATGACTTAATTTGTATTCTCTTTGGTCTGTCCATATCTACCTTTCAAAACAAACTGAGATGTATTATATGCAACATACACTAGATAAAGTTTATCAAACTAACAAGCTCATACAGTTTTATTTGTAGATTATAGCATGCAAAAATATTTTGACTAAACAATGCTGCACAAAATCTTCATAAATTGTTCGTTTGTAACAAACATTTCTAAACTACCAAGTACTGAATTAACCTTTCATTAACAAGATAGAGAAAAATTATCTTACCTCTGACTCCTGGAAGCCTAGGAGGCTCCGGGGCAGGGTGGGGAGGGGAGCGGAGGGGAGGAAGGGATGGAGGAGATATTGACATTCCCTGGCTTCTCAATGATATGTATTAAATATTGTAGACACTAGTTTGAAAGTCTTCCCACAGTAGACCCATACCGTGTATTATGTACTCAATAGACTTCTCTGAAAAATGTTTTTATACAGAGAAGTTCTACCTATTCTTTCTGTGGTCACTATTCTTGAGTTGAGCTTTAATCAGATTCAACCACAAAAATTGCGCTAGAGTATACAGTAGGGTATGTGCTCTCAAATTCCACCAGCAGAAAACTACAGTTTCTTGCTGTTGTCTCCATGGAGAGGC